TAAAAAACTACTAAAAATTAGTAAAAACAGTTACTAAGTCAATTGGTAAACGAATCCGCACTATTTCATTAGTAGAAAACTACTAATTCAGATTTAGAGAGATAATTATTATAAAACATGAAGAAATCGATTGCTCCGAGTCGAAGACTCGGAGTGATCGATATCTTCATGTTTTATAATAAATATTCTTTCAAGTTATTGAATTTCAAAAGGTTTGAGTTTGAAATTCATGAAAATTTTATAAAATTTTTCCAACTTGTTTCAAATGAAAAAGTTTTAGAAAAAAGTAGAATAATTTAAATTTGTAAAATTAAGAATTAGATAGAAAAAGGAGAGTTGGGAGAATTTAAGTAAAAGATAAATGTTGAATGTGAAGCTGAAATCTCTTGTTTGAGACAAAGGGAGGAAATTCGTGTCCAAGGAGTGCGAGTAAAAAAGAGGGGAAAAGAGAGAAAGAGAGAGAAAGAGAGAGGAAGGGAGAGAGAGAGAGAGGGAAAGTTGAGAAGGGACGGTGGGTATAACCACAGCTAGAAAGCTAACCACAGCTAATCCGAAAGTCCGGCTTAAGCACACACCTGTCAACCCCTGCCCGCCAACTCTGCATCACTACCCCGCGCCTAGCTCACTCTGACGAAAGCTTTAAACTTACCCCCTTTTGCATTCTCTTTCCGTGTGTTCTAAGGGATAGGACGAAACAATGGAATGCTTACATCAAAACCCGCTTGCCACGCTTCCTTCTGTAGACGTATTTCATGTCTCAATTATTTCATATAAAAGCGCAACCCCATCCGACCGGGCACACTGCCCGGATGGATTTACGAGCATTATTCGCGTTCACTAAGATTTCCTTCAAATTCCCATTTATTCGCAAAGCTGTTACTGTCAACATAAAAAACACATCCCATAGGATCGCTTTAGACATTTTAGACATTTTTCTAATGGAATTAATTTTCACTTTTTTCTTTTAATATATTTTCTTTCATTTTCTTTTATTAGGGTAGAGGGGCCCCAAAGTAGCCAGGGCCCTAAGGTGGCAACCATGCGTTTTTATGTAAAATCACTTTTGAATTTTTTTACGAAATAATATTTATCAAAATATATTATAGAAAACGTAAATTTTATAGATTTGGAAAATTTTATGATAAATAATAAAAGTAATTTAGTTTTTAATGTATGAAATAGGATAAAAAATTAACAATATTTTAGAATGGCTTCTTATAAGCAAAAAACAGAGTTTGCAACTATTGATTTTGTGATTATAAGCCAAAAACAATATATTTCAAATAAAATTACCTTGAATCGAATTTTGCAACTATTTTTTAATTTTTCAGAGAATTTTTGAATGGTGGCCACTTTGGGGACACTTTTTTTTAAAGCAAAATTTCAGCTGTTTTTCCAAAGTTGTCCAACAGGGTTGCCACAAGTTAGGGAAGTCAGGGAATTCAGGGAAATGTCAGGGAAAGTAAAATTGGTCAGGGAAATCAGGGAAAAGTCAGGGATTTTTAGTAAAAGTACTGGAAAAAATTGAATTTTAAAAATTCATGACAAAACTCTGAATTTTGATGTTCTTTTTGTTTGCCTCGTAAATTATAAAATTACCACGAATTTTAATACAGAACCTTGAATTTTTTCTATTTCAGACAATAATTTCTTTTTAAATAACTTAATTTTACAAGAACTATCATAAAATTATGACTTATAAATTGTTCAATAAATAATTTTTACAATTTTCATAAATACTAGATTGATAAAAAAATTTCAGTTAAAAATACTAAAAAAATTGAATTTTGGAAAAGTTACAAATAAGAATTTCAATTTTAATCAAAAATTTAAAAAAATTCTCGTCATTTCAATTAACTTTAAAAATAATAAAATTCTTCTCTAAAATTGAGTTATGTTCAAAAATTTTTTAAAAATTCTCGTCAAAATTACAATTACCTTCATAAATAATACAATTCTTCTTCGAAATTCAATTATTTTTAAAAACCTTAATAAAATTCTTGGCAAAATTTCACAGGAATTTAATATTTTACAAAATTTTTTAATAAATTTCTTCGAAATAAATCAATTATTTTCGTAAATAATAAAATTTTCACAGGAATTCAATTATTTAATATAAAAAATTTCAAAAAGTTTTCCAAAAAATATCAATTATTTAAAAAGAATTTTATAAAATTCGTCGCAAGAATTCAATTATTTAAAAAAAATTTTAAAAAGTTCTTTCCAAGAATTAGAATTATTTTTAGAAATAGTAAAATTCTTCACCAAAATTTAATTATTTTTATAAACTTGAATAAAATTTGTTGGAAGGATTAAATTATATTCAAAAGTAATAAAATTCTTCGCAGAAATCCAATTCAAAAATTAAAAAAAAATTCTTGTCAAAATTTCAATTATCTTTATAAATAATAAAATTCTTTAAGATTAAATTATTTAAAATTTTTTTTTTTAAATTCTCGTCAAAATTTCAATTTTTGTTATAAATAATAAAATTCTTCTTCTTAAAAATTCAATTATTTAAAAAAATTTTAATAAAACTCTCCGCAATATTGAACATGGATTTCAGCCATTTATAAAATTTTTAATAAATTTCTTTGAAATAATTCAATTATTTTCATAAATAATAAAATTTTCACATGAGTTCAATTATTTAAAACCCAATTTTCGTAAAATTTTTCGCAAAAATCAATTATTTAAATAGATTTTACGAAAATTCTTCGCAAGAATTCAATTATTTTAAAAAAAATTTAACAAAGTTCTTTTCAAGAATTCATTTATTTTTGCAAATAATAAAATTATTCACCGAAATTAAATTATTTTAGAAAAATTTTAATAACATTTTTGAGAAAGTTTTTAATTATTTTCATAAATAATAAAACTCATCGCAGGATTTTAATTAATTTTTGATACAATATTTTAATCAAATTCCTCGAAAAATGTAATTTTTCTTAAAAATTTTATTAAAATTTGTCAAAGGAATTCAATTATTTAAAAAGTTGTTGTTGTTTCAATTAATTAAAAATTTTTTACGAGAATTCAATTTTAACAAACATTCAATTATTTAATTAATTATTTATTTTTAATTGAAATAATTAAATTCTTCTAGAATTTTCTAATAAAAAATTGATTTAAAAAATGAATTACCGAATAATCGATTTATTATTTATGAAAATAATTGAATTCTTTCACAATGAATTTAATTTTATTTTTTTAAGTAATTAAATTCATGTGAAACATTTTATTTCTCTTAAAAATAATTGAATTTTTGCGAAGGATTTTATTAGGATTTTTGTAAATAATTAAATTTTTTTTGAAAAATTTCATCATAATTTAAATTATAACAAAACATGAAGAAGGCGATCGCCTTTCTTTATATTTTGTAATATTATTCTTATAAATTGTTGAATTTCAAAAGAATTTGAATTTAGAATTTTTTGAAGAATTTTCATTCGTACGGAAAAATAATAATGATTAAATATTTATTTAAAAAAGAAGTTATTGATGTTTTCGAATAATTTTACTTTTGAAGAAATTTGTAAATAAATAGAACATTTTTTTGAGTATCTAATAATTTTTAGAGTGAATCAGAATATTTTTTAGGATCAGGAAAAAAGTGAGAATTTTGTCTGGAAATCAGGGAAAAGTCAGGGTTGATTTTACCAAAAAAAAAAAAAAAATACTCGATGATGATTCGAGTTTAGAACAAGTGCATTTAATATAAATTTTTGATAATTAAAGACTGTCGATTGGAGGAGATAAATTTCAGAATAGCCATATATTTGATAGTCGTATTCTGCATGAATACAATTAGCAAAAGAGAAGTTTTCATTGAATAATTAAGCAATGTGCCAGGCAAAGTGAACTGTAGAAAATCGTCTTGGCTTGAGGAAATCGCTTTAATATTAATAAAGCTTCGTCTGGCAGGAAGGCGTCAAGAAAATTACAGTGAAAACTTTGTATTTCAAACTTTCCAGGTGTGAATAACTCAAGCGTTGCTTTTTATTTATTGAGAAAATTAATTGCGATTCTCTAATATGATTATCTTGCGGCGAAAAAGAAGAAGTGATAAACGATGTATCTTCATTTAAAGGCGTCAAAGTTAAATATTTCACAGAGGAAATTCTTTAATTTGCAGTCATCTATACTAAAACCTACTATTTACTAATTTTTTTCACGATCAGCTACTATTTGGATACTTTTTTAAAATTTCTGACACTAAAAGCTACTTTTTCTATCATTTCTTTTTATAGCATTTTTTATTAGGTACTTTAGTAGAACTAGACTATAGCCTAGTTCTACTAAACTAGTTTAATCCAGGGTTAAACTATTAAATAGCGTGATTTTAGTGGAACAAAAAATGAAAGTAAAAAATAGTCGGATATTAATTTTGATTAAATTGTTAAAGCAAATTGTCCTCTCATCTCGCTGTTAGATGGTGAAAATAATTTGTTAAAAATATATGATAGTAGATGTGACGGAAGTTCGTTAAGAGGGAAATTTTCTTCGCTCTATGGGCGAGGATTTCCTTCTAGAGGAACATGCAATGATGTCAGTGAGTGTGCAGCAATGGCAAATACGACGCCGTTAAACTACATGTTTAATTTGAAAAGCCCAGACGTAGTGCTAGCTATGCTTTCCATTGTACCGCTTCGTTATAAAGGGAGCCGAAACCGGCTTTGTTATTTCATGGCAAGCGTCGTCCTTTCCACTAACGCCGAATCCACTGTACCCTTGCGGTAATCCTGAAGACTAGCTTTTGCAGTCGGACGAAAACGAAAGCGACATTAATGTTCTAGTCTAGTGAGAACTTGCAGTTCGAGCTTCTGTACGTTATGCAAAAATCTCTGCCTTGCATTTCGAAAAAAAATGAGAATGTAATTTAAAAAAAGGATAGCTATTATATAATTAAATTGATGATGCTCTTGAGTGGACATTGGTAGAAAATTAGAAATAGGTAGAAATAAAAGATAAAATATATTATTAACCATATTTATATTTCATTTACAACCAGAAAAGTTGACGTAATAGAAATTAGGGAACCAAACAGTTAAACCTGTCTTGTTGACATTCAAAATAAATTTTTTCTTCCCTTACTAATAGATAGATTTTGTCAAACAAATCAACACCATTTAAGAGAATTTTTATCTGTCCTGATGAGTAAAGATTTTGCAATTCATTTTTAATTCTAGTATCATTATTCATATAATCAGAGTAATCCAACATTTTCAATCTGTTCATCCACTGTAACGCTTTAAACAAATATTCACTAATATCTCTTTTCTGATTTTCAACATTATTTTTCACAGACATAAAATCAAGCGAATTATTATGAACTTTTTCCATACCTTCTATATAATTTTGTTTTAGAAAACAAAAGAGATTAATAAATAGAAAAATATTTGTATTGCTGCAAAAATATTTTAAATTAGTATTGTCCATGTCATTTCTTAATGTTATATTTTTATAAGCAGAACTTATAGTATTGCGAAGGTTAGAAAAATGTATCATTTTTGTCATACTAAAATCAATATCGATTCTCTTATTTAATGTCCACATATTTGGGCATGGCAAAATTTCAAATAAATTCTTTGAGGTGTTAGAACTTTGTTGTTCTTTTAAAAAGTCATTAAATTTTTGTGAATTTTCAATAGAATCATTGCCAATAAAAGCTGCGTAGTGATTAGATGTAAATTTTGGTAATTTATTGTAAAACATAGCGTGTTTTGAAAAATATTTCGAGTAACGGCTATAAAATTTCTGATATAGATAAATGAAATATCTGAGATTTAGAAAACGGTTCGTACATTTTGTTGTTAATAATTCACAATTGTATGGTGGCGAAAGAATGAATAGATCATTATAACCATCACTGTAAAATGGAATAGAAGGGAAATAATTTGAACAGTTTACAAAGTAAAATAGAACTTTGGAATAATCGTCAATCATCTTGAATTCGAAATAAGTAATCAGTGCGTTATGATGTCTGTCGGTTCTCATGGGATAAACATAAAAATAAGTATCTTTGAATTGATACAGATGAATATGTTTCATTATTTCATCGTGCACAAATTGTTTTGTATAATGTAGTGTTTCTCGTTTTAGTTTTGGAACTATTCTACTGCCTTCAATATGTTCGAATTTCGAAATCCCTGTCAGCATATCATCTGCTACGATTATTATTAATCTCTTGTATTCCATCTTAGGAACTAGATCATCAATTGTTTTCCAATATTTGTAAATTGAACAGGGATTATTTAAAAAAGATGTAAAGCAACTATTTTTTCCCTGATACTGTAAGAATATATATTTACAATTAGAATTTTGGATTCAAAGTAATTTATTGTTCTCAGTTTGTACGTCTTTACCTTCTATTCCGAAAAATGAAATTATATTTTAACTATAATAAATTACTTACCAAGATGCTGAAAAAAAACAACTTCAAAGTGGGTTTAACATCCTCATTTAGATTTACATCTTGAGAAATTTTGTCATATAAGTTATAAAGTTCAAGTATAAATATTTCACTTTTCATAAAATATTTCTGTTTGTACAAAAATATCAAGTTGTTGAATAATTTTAATAGGTTTGTCAATGGTTTTACGACAAGTTGTTTTAGAGTATCTATCCACGCTGATATGTTATAGGATGTAACATCTGATAAATCTTTTATAAAGCAAAATAATTTAAGGATATCTATTTCATGATCATTTTTGCAAATATCGCCAAAGGAATTGTCAATACTAGTCAACGAAGATATAGTGCTGTTAATCCAATTCAAGTAATCGACTCCAATTTGAAATTCTGTTTGAGGACATTCATCTATAGTATCTTTTGTAAAACTCTTATGTATAACTTTTAGTTTTGTTGACTGAAAGCACGTTAGGCTTCTTTCTGCAGCAGTTGTCCTTTTACTAGTATTGTTGCCAGTTGTTAATGTATTGTTGCCATTGTTTTGGATTTGTTGTAGCAATGAGTTAAAATACATTAAAAACCTATCGTTGTCAAGATTAGATTTAAATCCAATCGAATCACATAAATCATCATTGTTAAATGCGTAATGAGCTACGTAACTCTTTTCTCCTCCAAACAATTGGTGACGTAGCTTAATTAATTCTGAAAAACTTTCCCCTGATTGTAGTTTTTGCTTAACATATTCTGTAAGAGTGCAATTGGTGTAACTTGGATTTAAAGGAATTAGAATATCTTTAAAAAAGGGTATTCTTCTATTACGTCAACAAAATCGAAGATTACACCCAACTGGTCGTTTAATAGTATTTTTTGACAATATGTGGTGAAAACATTGTCTAGAATGTTTATCGGATAGACAAAATAGTATACATTCTTAGCTTCATATAGGTAAAAATGTTCAGATATTATCTGATGAAACTCAAATAGAGAAGGATTGACTTTTATTAAGTAATTAGGTAAAATCCTCTTGCTCTGAGGTATATTTCTAACTCTGTTAATTCCGTTATTAAATTCATCTGCTATTATTACTACTAACGGTTTGTAATTTTTTTGGAACAACAAACGATTAAGACTTTTTGAATGATCGTAAAGAGTACAGATATCATAATCAGGAATGGATTCGTTTCTTCCCTTTTCTTCTACCTGTAAAATACCCATTCTGAGATATTCTCCTTCTTATTTTTAGCATTATTATTACAAGGAAAAAATCGTTAAACCTTCTTTTCCATTTTGTTTTGTGCAAATCTTTTTATTTCTTTTTTTTATTTTTGAACATTAAATCTTATCACTTATGAAAAATGCAACTATTTTACATGTGTAGTTATAACATCATTTTTATGAAAATATTTTTAAATTAAAAATTTTTCATTTATTTAAAAAGTAAATCTTTATGTTTGATTTTGACTAAAGAAAGTTACATTGTTCCAAATATTGACTAAATTTCAGATTAGGAAATGAATTTTAAGGCCTTTAATTGTCTTATTTTTATTTTAAGTCCAAAAAAAACTTATATCTGATTTTGACTAAAACAAGTTATATTGGTCGAAATATTTACTAAATTTCAGATTAGGAGATGAATTTTAAGCTCTGGAAGCTAAAATTGTTTTATTTCTATTGTAAGCCCAAAAATTAGTTGAATTTATAAAAAAATACGTTTTAGCTTACTTTCTCTTTTCAGTGTCGGATTTGTCATAAAATATTTTTGTATTAAGGCAGAATTGAAATACTTTTAATAATACTAAAAAAAAAATTTTTTTAATCGGAAAATTATAGTGAATTAAGAATGATATCAAGTAGACACTTCTATAAAGAGTCAGTAAGCATACATTATATTAAATAAAATCTTAGTATTTGCAATATTTTTGTTTTTTAACTTACCGCACTTTCTCCAACGACGAAAATTAATAGTGCTGGCAGTAAGAAAATTTCTTTACTTTGGAAGACCATTTTTAATTTGTTAATAAACAAAAATTCTTTCGGCACAAGTATTAATATTCTTTTAAAACATTAAAAGCAGACTAGCAATAAAAATAAGTCATAGAATGTTATCAATTTTTTAACAAAAAAGTTATTGAAATGAATAAAAAATAAGGAACACTGAAATAGTGGTAGTTATCGAATATTTATTTGCTTTTATCAACAGAAAGTCATTAATCACAAATTAAATGAAAAACTATAAACTACGTTTAAACTATAGATTTTCATTAAGCTTTTCATTAAAAATCATTAAAATAAGCATTTACTTGAAAATAAGTATTAGAATTCCACATATTTGTGTAAGAATCAAAACTATTTTAACTTTTTGTTTTTTAAATGAATTAATATGATCCATTAGGTTGAAGAACAAAAAAAGTGACACTTAATTTTAGTTAATTACTAATACAAATATATTTGAATACAATAGTATTGTAATACATTAATTGGGAAATTTTAAATTGTATGCCATGTTACTCAGAACATCATTAATTTTAAAATTTTTTATTACATTCATAAAAAATTGCACTTTGTCGTCGTGCTAAATAGATTTTATCTGACAAATCTTCATTATTAAAGAAAATATTTGGTAGTTTTGAGTAAAGAGTTTGGGATTTTATTAATAATTTAGTTCCATCATTCTCAAAATCAAAGTAATCCCACCCAAAAATTGTGTCCATCCACTTTAATGTATTATTCAAATATTCGATTATAAGTTTTTTCTCAGTTTCAACAATAATTTTCGTATTCCCAATGAAAGTCGATTTCGAATTTATAACTTTTAGTAAACCTTTTATATAATTTGTTCTTAAAAAACAAAAAGGTTTAATAAATTTAAAAATTTTCAATCTTCTGCAAAGATATTTTTCATTACTATTGTCTGTGATATTTGTTGATATTATGTTTTTTTGAGCAGATAATAGTAGTTTGTAAAGAAGAAGAAAATCTGTCATGTTAGTCATACTAAAATCAATATCGATCCTCTTATCTAATTTCCGTGAGGATTCGCAAGGTAAATCTTTAAATAAATAATTTGTTTTTAAAGAAATTGGCTTTTCTTGTAAAAAATAATAAAATTCCTTTGAATATTCAATGTATGAATTTCCTGTATAATGCAAGTTGTTATTAGTAAAATTTGTTAAGTCGTTGTAAAAAGTAGCATATACTGGAAAATATTTTGAAAAGCGTTTATGAAATTCCTGATGCAAATTAATTAAGTACATTGGATTTAAAAACCGAACTGTACAGTTTTTTATAATTAAGTTACAGTTATCTGGTAGTGCAGGAATAACAACGTCATTTAAGCCATTATTAGTAAATTCACCAAGAGAGAAATAATTAGAAGAGTTTACAAAGTAAAATACAACTTTGGAGTAATCATTAATCATCTTGTTCTCCAAATAAGTAATCAATGCATCTTGATATCTATCGGTGCTCATGGGATAAACATAGTAATAAGTATTAATGGATTGATACAGATAAATATGTTTCATTATTTCATCGTACACAAACTGTTTTGTATAATGAAGACTTTCTCGTTTTACTTTTAGTCTTAGTCTGTTTCTTCTAAAATTCAATTTCAAAACTCTTGCCTGCATATCATCTGCTACGATTATAACTAATCTCTTGTATTCTATCTTAGGAAATAGATTATCAATTGTATTCCAATAATTGAAAATTGTACAGGGTGAAGATAATATAGATCTGTGGTACATATTGCTCTTCTCACTCTGTTAAAATAAATATTTTGAAGTAAACTTTATGTCTTGTAATTTAATGTTCATTATTACTTTTTATTATTAAAGTCATTATTACGACATCACAATTTTTCTAAAGATATCAAATTGAGACAAAAAACGTAAGTGTTGCATCGCAACAATTTTGATAAGTTTCTTGTCTTAGTTTGATATCCTTAGAAAATATGTGATTAGGTGGTATTTTGTTTGAAATTATAAAATATTATGTCAACTATAATTCATTACTTACCACATAATTTGCAACGAAGTTGTAAGCAGTTTTCATAACACTCCTCCAATTTTCATTTACTTTTAGCATTTCTTTATGTAAATAATCAAGTGTCACTGAAACGTCATCTCTTTTCCACACATTTTCCTGATAGTACAATTCTTTCAAAGTTCCGAACCATTCTATTTGGGTGATCAATGATTTAGTGACAAGTTGTTTTAGGGTATCTATCCAAGCAGTTATTTGAAAAGTTGTATCACCTGATACATCTTTTATAAAACAAAATAATTTAAATATATCTATTTTGTGTTCATCTTGGCAAATATTCCCAAAAAAAGTATCGTTGCTAGTCAGTGAAGATATAGTATTTTGAAGCCAGTTTAAATAACTGATTTCAATAAAAGGATGTTGATAACGTTTAACGTTACTGTTACCGTAAAAAACATCTGCTGTCACTTCTAGATTTCTTGACTGAAAGCACGTTAGGCTTCTTTTTACAGTACTTGTTCTTTTACTAATATTGTTGCCAGTTGTTAATGTATTGTTGACATTGTTTTGGATTTGTTGCAGTAATGAGTTAAAGTACGTTAAAAAATTATAGCTTTGAGAATTAAAGTTAAATCCAATTGAATCACAAAGCTCATCATTGTCGAATGCCTTAATGGTTAAGTGTCTCTTTTCTCCTCTAAACAATTGTTCACGTAACTTAATTAATTCTGAAAAACTTTCCCCTGTTTGTAGTTTTCGTTTAACATATTCTTCAAGAGTACAGTTTGTACAGCTTGAGTTTAAAGGAATTAGAACATCTTCAAAAAAAGGGTACTCATCCTTTACGTTAACAAAGTCAAACATAACACCCAATTGATTCTTTAACAGCATTTTTTGACAATATATGGTGAAAATATTGTCTAGAATGTTTATCGGATAGACAAAATAGTATAGATTCTTAGCTTCATATAGATAAAAATGTTCAGATATTATCTGATGGAACTCAAATAGAGAAGGATCGTTTTTTATTAGGTCATCATGTAAAATCCTTTTGCTCTGAGTTATATTTCTAACTCTGTTAATTCCGTCAATAAATTCATCTGCTATTATTACTACTAACGGTTTGTAATTTTTTTGAAACAACAAACGATTAATTCCTTCTGAATGATCGTAAAGAGTACAAATATCATAATCAGGAATGGATTCGATTCTTCCCTTTTCTTCTACCTGTAAAATATCCATTCTGAGATATTCTCCTTCTAATTTTTAGCATTATTCTTACAAGGAAAAAATGGTCAAACATTCTTTTCCATTTTATACTGTTATAAAAAAAAATTTAGGCCCATTTTTTATGTAACATTTTAAAAGTGTAACGAGTGTGTAATAAAAAGTAGTAAGTTGATGTTTTTAGAAGGACAAACTTTAATTATTCACGATTGCTTGATAATTTTTTTTAATCTAAAAAAATTATTAAGTTTGTAACAAAACTTTTTAGTTCTTTTCTTTTTATTTTTAAACATTAAATCTTATCACTTATGAAAAATGCAACTATTGTGAAGTTATAACATAATTTTTAAGAAAATATTTTTAAATTGCTTGACAATTCTTTATACTAAAAGAGTTATTAAGTTTGTTACAAATCTTTTTATTTCGTTATTTTTTATTTTTAAACTTAAATTTAATTTATTTAAAATATAAATCTTCTTTGTGTCTGATTTTGACTAAAACAAGTTATATTGATACAAATATTAATTATTCACGATCAAAAAAAAAAAAATCAAATCAAATCAAAAAAAAAAAAAAAAAAAAAAAAAAAAATCAAATCTTTTTATTTCTTTTTTTTCATTTTTAAACATCAAATCTAATCACTTATGAAAAATGCAAGTATTAGACATGCGGTGTTATAACATCATTTTTAGGAAAATATTTCTAAATTTCTATGAACGTTTTCTTAAAAAATACATTTCTACGCAAACATTTAATTAATTTCATAAATAATAAAAATTTCATCGCAGAATTTCAATTATTTTTAATATTAAAATTTTATCGAATTCCTTGAAAAATGTAATTATTCTTAAAAATTTAATAAAAAATCGTCGAAAAATTTAATTATTTTTAAAAGTAATAAAATTCTTCTTAGAAATTCAATTATTTTAAAAAATTTAGAAAAATTATCGTCAAAATTTCAATTACTTTTATGCATAATAAAACTCTTATCAAAATTTTAATTATTCTCAAAAATTTTCCTCAATTCAATGATTTTCAATAATTATTTTCATAAAAATTGCAAAAAGAATTCAACTAAATATTTACTTCAGAATAATTTAATTTCAGTTTAAAGATTAGATAATAATTCAATATTAAAAATATTATAGCTTGAATTTTTAAAAGCAATTGAATTTAATTTGTTTAGTCTTCTTTTCCTATGTTAGAGAGAAATTTTGTGCTCATTTCTGATTTATTGTTTTGAAAAAGATGTAACACGTGCGTAATAAAAAGTAATGGATTGATGCCTTTGAAAGGACAAATGTTAACTCTTCACGAATACTTGATAAATTTTTTTTTAAACTAAAGGAATTATTGTAAGTTTGTAGCAAAATTTTTTATTTATTTTTTTTATTTAAAAATTTTAAATATTAACATTTATGAAAATTGCAAATTTTAGACACGTAAAGTCAAATATATAATTTTGTGTGTTTTATTAATTAATACCGGAAAAGTCAGAAAATTTTCCGACGATTCTTCTGCATGTGTAATGTAGTGTTTTTCGATAGAAGTAAAAGTTTTGAAATTTCACTTACAATGCTTTCTTTGAGGTATGAAATATTTCCAACTAGCAGTACCAAAATCAAACCAAATGCCGTCAAAAATTTGCTGCGGTAGTCCATGTTTGGTTTATGTATTTAAATATTTGTTTCAACACACGTACTGATGTACTTTCAAAATAAAAATAGTGCAAACATTTTCTATCGTGAAAAAATAAGTCACAAAGATTAAACAATATTTTAACAACTTTTCTTTTATGACATTTTTATTTTTCCAAAATTCATAAAGCGAAATACGAATGATAAATATATGAAAATATGAAATTAGATAATTTTTTACGTTATTTAATATTTTGACACCATATATATTGTTCAATTGAATTCAATATTTTGATCCAATATTTTTTATATTCTTGAATTATTAATTGCACTAATGTTCATTGAACTTTACAGTTCATTTATTTTCCATAAATGTAATTTAGTTACTTTTAGAATAAATTAGTAAATTAATTAATAATTATTCAATTATTTAATTAATTAATAATTATTTAATTATTTAATTAATTAATAATTATTTAACTATTTAATTAAAATTAAATTTCAAAGAAATATTTGAAGCTGAAATGTCACAGGAAACATGTATTGATATAATTTTTTTGTAATATAAAATATTTTTTAATATAGGTATATAATTTTTTCTGAAGATGTAAATCCACTTTGTAATTTAATAATATTTGATTCGCAATTTATATCCCAGTAGCGAATTATCGAGTGCGATTAACCGAAAAACCAAGAGTTTCGCGAATATAAATTAAAGCGACTCTAGGGATCGATTTTGGGATTTTACTTTGCAAATGTCCGCGAAGAGGGTAAAGGCTCAAGGCACTGGGGTGCGTATATTTTGCCAGCAATACACAAACACTAAAGATAGACGGAATTTAGATTGCTTATTAAGTAGAGGCCAAATAAATGCCAATATGTGAAAATCTTTCAAGGTTGACAATTTGACATTCGACAAAACTCCATTTTTCTACGTTAATCTATGAAAAATAATTAAATAACAGACAAAATTCGTCTTCCTTGACGTAAATCAGAAATATTTGGTTGCGTTCTCGATAAATTCTATCAAACTTTATTATTATTTTTATAATAATAATAATTAACGGACCTTACGGACGTTTTTTTTTCAAAACAACTGACTTTTACGGAATTTAATCAAAACTGATCATTTGGTACAGGATTTAAGTCTTCATTTTGGGAGAAAATGAAGATACAACTGAAAAAATAAAAATAAACGGAAATATTTTACATGTCTCGGCGAAATGAAATTGTATATTATAATAACTAAAATGTAAAGAGTAAATGTAAGAGTATAACTTTAGAATTTAATCATGACCCGTCTAGGTTTTAATTTAAAGAGAGTGAAATGAGAAGAGAGAGGGCGTTAGTAATTCCCACCTAAACATCTGAAAACGCATAGTGCGTGGTGTGAGTGAGCAAACAACCATAAAGGATCTAGTTGAGAGAGAGAGAGAGTGGGGGGAGAAGACTTCTCTTGCCTTAAGGGGGTAGTGCCCTCCTAGGTACTGTTCAGCGCGGAAGCAACCCTTTCGAGGTAATAATCAAGAATGAGGCCCGAGAGACTAACCTATGCCTCCCAGTATCTTCTTGTATTAAAACGAATGTTAATAATCCTTTGGTCCACCCTTCTCGAGAAGAAAAAAAAATCATCTATTTTCTCCCAATATATCTCCCAGTCTCTTGAGGATTAGTTCATGAAACTTACTTGTTACAAACTTAAGTCAATTGAAGCCTATATGGAAACTCATTTAGCCACTCGGAAGTTTCTTCCCGTTAAATTAAGGTCTATTAGGAATCAATAAATTGAATGAAATAGTTTTAATGTCCATTCAATTAGGATTCATTAACTATTAATAAATTGTTAAACAGGATAATAATAATAAATTATAAACATTGGAATGGACGATCACTCCGAGTCAAGATAATGATAATAATTGGGGCCCCAAGGTGGCCACCCATCTTTTGAACGACTAATTCCTAAACGGTATTAATAATTAATAATAAATATGCCCTGAAACTGTATCTCTTTAGCTAACTTTTTAGTAAAATTTTTTTTTTATTTTACTAAGGAAAATAAAACTTATGCGACTTTGGAAAAACAGATGTAATTTTGTTTTTAAAAAAAAAGTGGACCCAAGGTGGCCAGCATTCAAAAATTCACTGAAAAATTAAAAAAATAGTTGCAAAAGTCAATTTAAGGTAATTTTATTTAAATTGTATTGTTTTTGGCTTTGAATCACAGAATCAATAGTTGCAAACTCTGTTTTTTGCTTATAAGAAGCTATTCTAAGATATTGTTAATTATTCATTCTATTTCAGACATTAAAAACTAAATTACTTTTAATATTTATCATAAAATTTTCCAAATCGATGAAATTTACATTTTCCATAATATATTTTGATAAATATTACATCGTAAAAATAATTCAAAAGTGATTTTACATAAAAACGCATGGTGGCCAAAATTAGGACCAGGACGACATTTTTTAAAAGTTATCAAAAAATTGTATAACACACAATTTTATCGATATTCATTTATAAAATTATAATATTATTGTAATTGTAAACAAAATAACGACAAAATTAAAAACTTTTAAACTATTAACTGTAATCACAGTTATCACTTTAAAAACATTGCTTTCAAAATTTTTTTACCGAAATTTAACGGTCTTTGTTAGAAACAAACGCGTTTAGTTGATAAGAAAATTCTGAATTATTGTGTCTTTTTTGTTTGACTCATAAACTATAAAGTTACCACGACTACTAATACAAAACCTTCAATTTTTTTAATTTCTGACAAAAATGTCTATTTAAATAACTTAAATCTGAAACAACTATCATAAAATAAATAAATTATTTAATGAATAATTTTACATAAATATTTCAAAATTAATTTAATTTTAAAAGAGTTGCCTTTACAATTTTCATAAATAAATGAATTTCAAAAGGGTTCGAAATTTAAATTTTATAAAATTTCAATGTTGAATAAATTTAATTAGAAATTTTAATGAACTTAGATTTTTGAAAAAATTTAATAATTCAAAATCTTCTAAAATTAGTTAAATTTGTCAAATACATATTTAATTAATTATTAAAAATAATGAATATATAGAAGAATTTTAGTTAAAAACACTCAAAAATTTGAATTTTAAATAAGAAGTTACAAATAATTGCAGAAATTTAATTATTTTCAAAAAGTAATAAAATTCTTATCACAAAATTCAATTATGTTCAAAATTTACAAAAATATCTCGACAAAATACCAATTATTATCTTTATAGATGGAAAAATTCTTTAAAATTCAATTATTTTCATAAATAAAAAATTTTCACAGGAATTGAACTAATTAAAACAGAGTTTTCCTAATATTTAAAAAAAATCAATTATTTAAATAGATTTTTATAAAATTCTTCGCGAGAATTCAATTATTTTTTAAAATTTTAATATCAAACGTTGCAAGAATTCAATTATTTTTTTAAATATTAAAACTCATCGCAGGATTTCAATTATTTTGAAAAATTTTGAAATCGCGTCAAATTTTTAATTATTTACATAAATAATATGATTCTTCTCCGAAATTCAATTATTTTTATAAATAATAATAAATTCTTCTCCAAAATTCAATTATTTTAAAAAATTTTCCGCATTACTCAAAAGAATTCGATTATTCAAAAACAATTTTAATAAAGTTGTACACAAACATTCAGTTATTTTCATAAATAATAAAATTCTTAATTTTAAGAAACAATAAAATTTTTAATAAATTATATATTTTTGTATTGAAATAATTGAATTCTCATAGAATTTTCTTGTAAAACTTGATTTTAAAATAAATTTTTATTGAAAATTTTAAATAATAATTAAATATTAAAAGTATAAGAGCGTTGTAGAATTTCAATTACTTTTAATACAATTTTAAGCGAATTCCTCGAAAAATGTAAATCCTTTTCACAAAAAATTTTGTTAAAATTTGTCAAAAGAATTCAATTACCTATTTAAAAATTTGTTAATAAAATTTTTAAGAGCATTTAATTATTCAATAAATTATTTAGTTTTGTATTTAAATAATTGAATTGTCGTAGAATTTAAAAAAAAAATTTTAATTCTCTAAATTTTAAAAATTGATTTAAAAATGATTAATAGTTAAAATTTTAGATAAGAATTGAATATTTAAATCATTACAGCGTGAATTCGTGGAAATAATTGAATTGTGTAGAGGTTTAAAATTAAAATATTTGTAAATCTTAATTTTTCATACTTTTAACTAATAATTCTGTAGAATAAATATTTTTGAAAAAGTTTAATTGAATTTTTTTGAAATTATTCGAATTTTCTATTTTCTAATAGGTATATATTTAATTGAAGAATTTTCGAATAATCGAAATTTCGTAAAATTTGAATTGAAAATAAATAGATTTGATAATTTTCAAAGAACTTTTGCAAAAATTATTAAAAATAATTTATTTAAAGAAGAATTTTAGTTCAAAATTCTAGATAATAATAATTGAATTGAAATTATGAAAATAATTTTGAAGAAGTTGTTATAAAACATAAAGAAGTCGATTACTCCGATGAGTCGAAGACTCGGAGTGATCGATATCTTTATAGTTAAAGATTTAATTTATATTTTTAAGTAAGATGTTCTTTTATTTGACTCGGACTGGTTATATTTTTGTTTTATATTTTATTTTTATTATTTTTATTTTATTTATTTATTTTATTTTTATTATTTTTAATTTATTTTTTTTAAATATTTTTTATTTCGTAAAGTCCGTATGTTGGTATGTTTGAATACTTTCACTGGTTCGAGTCCTGATTTTTGGTTAGAAATCTCAAACGGAAAAAAGTCGAGTACTAATTTCTTTAATTGAATCAATTAATCCGTAATTGAAAATTAATCTTTGATTGGTTTTAGTATAAGTGAGAGGAAAATAAAATAAAAAGAATATCGGATATTGGAATTCGATAATTTGTTTTAAATATTTGAAAGATCGGTGTTCAGTCGAAATGATTTCCGACAGTTGTAATTTTGAAATATAGATTCATAACAAAAATTACTTTTTTCTTCTTTTACGATCCTTTGAAAATTGTATAGCTTCTTCGAATTTTA